TAAAATTCATTGGCTACTACTCTGTTTAAAATCTCCAAGCTACTAAGCTTATATAGCAATGCCGTTCTGGTGGAGCTTGCAGCACCTTCATCACACAGTAACATGATGAACTCAAAGCCCATTAAGACCACTGCTGAAAGAACACAGGAAATCCTGAGCTGAAGAAAAGCCAGAATGGGAAGGATGTCATTTAATTTTATTGACATCTCAAAGACAATTACCGTCCTTTCAAATGCCTTTTTTTTTTTTTTTAATCAGATACCAGTGCATTAACATATGCATATAGCTGTGCAGACCATGAAAAAGAGGAGGAAAAGAACAGCAAGTCTCTGCTTTTAAGCATAGGAGAAACATTGCTTCACTGCAAAACAGTGTGTGCTGACAGTGCAATTAGGGCTAAATTATCTAATATTAGATTTGTGTGTATGTGACACCTGCCATGCACCGGACACTGACTCCGTGAGTATATATATGTACAGGACTAAATTTCACTGGGCTGGTTTTGAAGCTGGCTTTCCAGACTAACTGAGAAGTGTGGCCATACTGGTCTGTGGAAGCAATCGTTAAAATGCACTAACTGATGTCAGTCTTGCAAGACAAAGGAAAACACTAGTTAAGTTGATCATCCACTCTCTAACACAGCAGAGAGAATTTTATTATTTGCAGGTCTCTTTGGGGCAACTTCAGAAGCAAAACTTCACAGCCAGCATCCCTAGGAAATACAAAGTACTGGATTTTAAACTATTTCACTGTTCATCTCCACCTCCTTGCTTTTTCTTTTGCTGCATGTACCTATGTCCTAAAGTACCTTGTGTAAATCCTGAAAAGCAGCCACTGTATATTCATTCTGGGTAAATTGAGCATATTGTGTATCTCATCCTTTAAGTGTATTTAGCTACTAATTAACAGTACATATAGGGGGAAAGAAGTCCTAGAAGAAAGCAAGACACTATTTTCATAACCTTTTTATAAAGAATTGCTCTAAATGATAACATCAAATAGGATTGTATCCTTTCACTTGGTAAAAACTCCCAAGAAATTATTTGAACATTATCCGAGAATAATGTCTGATTAAAAACCAGATGTTTATGATCTCAGTGAGTTTTTAATTGGCAAGACACAGACTGTTAGCAGTAACACACTCACTGACAGGCAGAGAAACTGTATAGACAAACCAAGCAATTTCACACTGAGAAAGAGGATATCAATATAAAACAACCTCGTAACTGAAAGAATGTGCCTATCTCCATATTAAGAATGGAGGTCAGAAGAAAAAGAATGCTGGTAGGAATATGACATTAAAAGGAAATAGGTATATGTGAGAGCATTATTTTAAACTTACGAAGGAAAATTTATATATGTAATTGGCTTAATGTCATGCCTACAATTTATGAGTGGCTTTGAAAGTTGCACAAAAGTAATACTGAGGTCAATTTTGATAAATGGAAGACCATGAAAGAGAAATTAAAGAAGAATTCACAAAAGTTATTGAGTGAAAAAGGAATGTTACAGTGCACAATTAGAGAAAAAAATCGTAATAGAAATTAAAAAAAGAATTTGCTGATGTTTGGAGAATTTCTTCCTACCTTCCTACCAGAGCATAACACTGGGAAATAGAGGGGATTAAAAATCCCCTCTAAAACCTAAGATATTTCTTAGGTCTCAGCATGGCATATGGATGCATGTGGTATCATTATGATAGTTTCAATTTTGCTTTGCTAGTGTTAGCATTCAAAAATTACTACAAGAACACAAAAAAACCCTTATAATATCCTCTTTTTTTTTTCTTTTCTTTTTTTTTTTTTTTTTCTCCTTGAAATAATCTGTTAATGGATTTCTTTCTAAGAATATGCTTTCTTATTTTGAACCTTTAATATTCAACTTCTATAGTATTTTTGAGATCAGGAGGTAACTGCTCTTCCAAAAAGGAAAAGACTGCTATACAATTACCAGATTTTGGATTCAGGTAAGGTTAAAAAAATAAAAAATAAAAATAAAATATTACAAATGAAATACTACAGTACTTAGTTATTAGACTGTCTTTATGCACTCAAACAATGTTTTGAAATTTGTTTAATTATTTATGAGTACCCAAGATTTGCCAAGGCTACCAGGTAGGTACCCTATGCCTATACAATGAACTTCCTAAAACTTGTGACCCAGAAGGTTACTCATTAGCAAAATATCAGCTTACATCAAAAATAAAATCTTCTAGAGCAAAGTTATATGCAAATGTAACAGGCTAGTGGTATTTGGTTCTGAATGCCTCAATAGTGAGGACTGACCTCCTCTCCATAGCAAGGGGAGCAATATTAGACAGCTCTGAGATTGGTCCTTGGGAAAAAAAATAAAAAAAATATACACACAACAGTTTTAAGGGAAATAGTGAAGTTGACTAATTAGAGGGGTAATTCATACCATCTATTTTTAGACAGCAGATTTCAGCACCTCTGGGATCTTGCAGAACCACAACACAACCAGATATAGAACGAGCACAGAGATGATCCTGCAGAAAACAACTCAGCATCTCTTAGATATGCCTCCTCCTGTTACTGACCACAGGGTTGATAACACTAACTAGTCAGAAAAGCACTCACCCTTCTCAGAGGTTGGACTTGATGATCTTGAGGTCTCTTCCAACCTAGACAGTTCCTTGATTCTCTCTTCAAACAACAGGCTAAAAACACCCGCTGAGTCAAACTAGAATTTTGCAAGCTCTGCAAATCCCCAAATGGTTGACCACCTAGCCTGTGTTTTTGCAAAATTTGCTTTCACTCCCCTCTCTAAATGATTAATAATAATTATAAAAAACACCCATACTTAATCACGCTAACTGATGTCCAACATAGTGTCTATTTTAACTGCCAGTAAGAATCCTTCAAATGGGTTACAAAGTAAAGGACATTTTACAGATTAGTAAGATGTCACTTCTGGCTGTATGTGTTCTTACATGGCCGCCATTTCATGAACTACATTTCTACGATGTATTCTATTAAGTGCTCTTCATACAAGTGACTGCGATTGAAATATCTGCATTTTGTAATAGAATTTTATTGCTAGTAGGTTGAGAAAATAGAAAATGTTACGATATTTCTGTTGAAGACCTACAGATAACTTTTAACTTTTGAAGACCTAATGATAAATTTTTAAACTGCAGATACATCACAACCTGTGTTAGATAAACATTATCCTTCTCAATAGTCTATCAACGGTAGCACAGCAGAAACATTCTCAGAGGGATCTCCTGGAAAGAGTCCAGCGGAGGGCCACAAAGATGATACGGGGCCTGGAGCATCTTCCCTATGAGGAAAGTCTGAGAGAGCTGGGTCTGTTCAGCCTGGAGAAAAGAAGACTGAGAGGGGATCTCATCTACCTGGGCAGCCTGCTCTAAGGAACCTCTTTCGAGGTCCCTTCCAACCCCTTAAATTCTGTGATTCTAATTATTTTTTTTTAAACATCTTTCAGGGCTATATTCTGGTGTTTACATAATATGAATTTAGACATTTGTTCTGCTATGGCTGAACTTCCAAGATGCTGAACATTTAGGCCTTGACTCCAGGAAAGAACAGAAATGTTTTGAAAGGTCCTTTCCAACCCAAACCATTCTATCATCTTTGAAAATTTACTTACATATTTACTATTAAGCATATAACTAATTGATTTGCTAGGTTAAGGTACTATAGCACTTCAGAAAACTACAGAAAAATTACACAGACCAATGAAAAATTCTGGACCAAAGAAAAGGAGTCTCATGTTCCAGCCAAGCATCCATCTCACCTGATACAGGCTATATCTTGTACTTTATGCACTGGAAACTTCATAATATATATATATTTTTCCCCTCCAGTTAGAATCATATTAACTGCATTTTATAGTTTTTGCATCTTTTTGATCTGCTGCTTTAACTAACAGAAATTCCCTCTGTATTCAGACCATGCAACTTGATATCCTTGACCCTAGTATCCCAATCACATAACTCTCCTTTATTGTAAAAGCCTTACAAAACTGTCCTTACCCATACCTTGACACATTCTGGTGCCTATACTGACAAGTGCTTGAGCAAGTGCAGAGAAGGGCAATTAAGCTGATGAGGGGTCTGGAGAACAAGTCTTAAGAGGAGCGGCTGACGGAGCAGGGATTGTTCAGCTGGAGAAGAGGCTCAGGTGAGACCCTATTACACTCCACAGGTACCTTAAAGGAGGCTGTAGAGGGGTGGAGGTTGGTCTATTCTCCCACATGCCTGGTGACAGGACGAGGGGGAATGGGCTAAAGTTGCACCAGGGGAGGTTTAGGTTGGATATTAGGAAAAACGTCTGTACTGAAAGGGTTGTTAGGCATTGGAATAGGCAGCCCAGGGAAGTGGTGGAGTCACCATCCCTGGAAGTCTTTAAAAGACGTTTAGATGTAGAGCTTAGTGATATGGTTTAGTGGAGGACTGGTTAGTGTTAGGTCAGAGGTTGGACTCAGTGATCATGGAGGTCTCTTTCAACCTAGATGACTCTGTGATTCTGTCTTCCAGTTACTTTCTCCCGCTTCCTACTGTATGCCATTTTTTCCAGTTATTCGAGGTTATCAGTAGTCAATCACTTTCCATTGCTATATAGTATCTTCTAGACATGTTTTCTTCTAAAATGTATTTAATATTAGGATGTGTCAAATTTAAAAACATTACAAACCATTTCATTTTAGCAGAAGAAAAATATCTGAACCACTAGATTACTTGACCACCTGCAAAGCTCCTTTCAACAGAACCCTTCTCAACATTAGAACATCATCCACCTTTTTCATACTCTGTGCACAAATATTTTCGTTGCTGTGTAATACATAGCTTACAGGAAGTCACTTGTTCTATGAAATATCAGACTGGCTGAAAATTAGTAATGAATTGCTTTGCTACAAAGCCTCTGATCTCCATTGTGCTCTATTATGCAAAATTCATTCTTCGGATGGAACTGCATTTGACTCAAAAAAGTATAGATATTTTAATTTAAGATCCCTACCTTTCTCCTTGGAAATCTGACTGATATTTAGCCGCAGTGGTGAAAGGCAGAGAGGAAATGAAATGCTGGCAGCAGATCTTCTTCACTGTTACTTAGGAGCAACAAAGTCATATCCATGCAGATTCTGTGGACTCTTAAAGCTGAATGACCTCTTCAACCAGCTGGGAAAAGGTGAGCACAGATCAATCAATTCACTGCAGACTGCACAGGTTCTGCGGGGAGCTGTTATGGTTCTACCCCAGCACCATGGGATACGGACCTCAAACCACATGCAGAGGCAACCTGCAACAGATAAGAGGTAAGCTCAGGGTCATTTTTGTATTTTTACACTTCTGTGAATACAACAGCAAAATCCAAATGGCCTAAGAGCCTCCCTAACATTCTGGAAGTATACAGAAAGCCTGTGGCACACGCTGAGAAATTCTGCTAGAGAGAACAGCAATGTCTCAAAGAGTCAGCAAAGAGATCATGATTATTACTCCCTCAGGGTACAACAGATTAATAGGAGCTCATTTGAAAGCAGATAAAACTGTTTGGGTGAATGAAGCTGAGCCTCTCCTATGGACTCTGAACCTGTAAAAGACATGGCTGGTCCTTTTAGCAGTATCTGCAGCACAGTTTTATGGTGTGCATTCAGTCTGCCTGTAAAAAGAGATGTTACGGATGAAGTCAAAAAAAGACTTGTTCAAAATAATATTGATCAAATTGCCAGATCAGTGAACAGTGAAACAGGTATGTCTTCCTGTAGGACTTTGTTACTGATTGACTCTGGAACCATTAATGTGAATGTTCTTCCCTAATGGGCTAGCAGAATTGACTTCTGAATGACAATGTTTCTCCTCAGGCTTATACAGCCCCAAAAGTGCAGTGAAGGAAGTTTTGCTGGACTTTAAAGGACAAAGGTCAAACAGGGGCATCAGATATATAGTCTGACTGCCCCACAGTGAACTCAACTTCTTTTTGCAAAGGAAAGATTATATTTGACAGTAAGTTACCTTTTAATTGTGATAGGTAATTAGAAGGAAACTATGAACCTTGAACAAAAAACAAACCAATATATATTCCCAAGTGGTCTTATGTATTTTGTTTCTGTTTTCTTGTGCATCAATTATATGCACATTTCAATTTGTATTTCATCAACAATAGCTTAATAACAAGCAAGCAGGCATGGTAGTGCTCCAAGAGGCTTAGCAGAGGACCTTTAAATGCAGGGAAGCAGATTAAAAGTTCAGTCAATAATGTGAAGAACTGTAGTGATGAGGACTCAAAATGCTTCAGCAAAATTACAACAGTTTATGACATGGCTTAAAAGGACCCTTTGCAAATGGGATTCCCAACACAAAACCCTCTCAGCCCGCAAAATCTTCCCGTTCAGCATCCACATGCACACACCCAAAGGGGACAGAAGTCAGATGGAGGCCACAACCGAGACAAGAGCCATCTGTGAACATGTGGGGGCCACTATGGGAGCCCCAGTGAGTGCTTTCAGCCTGGCACAGGTCCTGCCGAAGTCACTGGGCTCATTGCTGCTGAGGACGCTCATGCATGTGCATGGTTTTATGCACGAGCAATCCAGCTAGCAGTGAATTCATCAGCTCATCTCTGCAACCATACAGAGTTAAGCTATTAATGGAGAAAAAGAAAACTCAGCTTAACAGCCAACTGGCACGGCTGCCGGAGGTTCCACAGAATATTTAACAATCCGGTTTTATTGTAGGAAGAAACCCTGAAGCTTGACGAGGTTTAAAGTCAGTATTTCACCATCAGAGACAAGAAACCGCTCTGGTTACTGGCTTGCACTGACTTCATGTCCAGTTAACAACGACACCTAATAAATTTTCTGTCTCTTCTGATAGTCTTGTCATTAGAGAGGATACTGCAAATTTTCATGTGTTTATATAGCAAGAAATTTTCAGATATCCATATAAGTACTCAATCTAGAAAGAGGCAAATGCTTAGTCACTGCTGAGAAGTGCTACAGAACAGCTGAAAAAGCGGAGAGGAGGAGAGCTGTCCGAACAGCTGCCATTCTGCAGCTATGCCCTGCTGCAATGGGGAAGCTTCTGCTATTTTATAGATTATTCTTTAATATTTCATCTAGTAAGTGCAGTTCAGCTTAATAAACTGATAAATATTTCTGAATGAACATAACGGATCATCATAATATCTGGCACTAAAATTTAGGAGCAAAGAGGTGCAAAGAAAATCAATGAAATTCTCCCCCACCAATATAAGGCAAATAAAAATCTTCATGGCTTTTATCAGAATTTCCCCACATACAGTCTCAGCCAACAAAACATGATATACTGGCAGTGCTATCACTGTTGCCTAAAAACTTCACCATAAAGCAGATGCATCTTAAGATTAATTTAGCAGTTGCCACCAGAATCTTACCATGATTTTTCTCCTGAAGCCATTTTGTTTATTTTTAATACAGCACACTTGATAGATCACACACAATTAAAACATAAGACTGATATAAAATCACTTTTCCACTTTTTAAGCTCGCTAAAAAATAATATAGTGAGCTTTCTTGTCAGAGATGACTGAAAGGAACAGCTAAGAAAAGGCTGATTTTTAAAAATCAACCTAAACAGATTGATTTTATGGTAAATTGTTCAGCACTGATAGTGACCAAGGGGAGCCCAACACAAATAGGAAGTATTTGAACACAGTTTGCAAATATAGAGGTACTTTAATTAAAGATTTAAGAGACATATTCTGCCCATCATTTTAAAAGTCTCCTTCATAGTGCAAAAGGATACACAAACACACACAGACATATCTGCTTCCTTGCCAAAGTGCTGCTTAAGCCAGCCTGAACAGCCAAAGTCAAAAAGCACTAGCTTTAAGTATGAATAGTTGGAAAAAAACCTGTTCCACGGGACATTGGGGTAATAGCATCCTCCCATGAAAAGGGGAGGTGGACCATTAATGAAATACAACATCCAGAACTACACTTCTCAGAAGTCCTATACCCTGAAAATTATTTTGGGGTTGACAGGCACTGATTTTACAAGATTCCTGGTAAAAGATCAGCTTGAACTGGAACAGATTTATTCTAGCCTCTTACCACCTACACAAGGGGGACTGAGAAGCCCATGTAACATGCCCTAAGTACAGCAGCAGCCAGGCTTCACAGTTACAGCCCAAAGCCAAGGCACAAAGTAGAGACTTCTGCTTTCTTAAGCAAAAATCAGAAATAAAATCTCTTCCGTTATCATGCATCTTCCTAACAACTCCCCTTCACTTTTCAGGCTCTTCTACGACAATATATTCTTACACTTAAGAAGAAAAATTGCAACAAGCAAGTTTCTTCTTCTTCTCTTTCAACTCCCTGTTAGACTACTTTCTTCTCATTGAGTTAAAAGAGTAAACAGTTTAGATTTATTACAATACCTTTCCTCCTCCAGAAGGGTTCCCAACAGGCTTTACATAATTTGGCTTCAAAGTTCTGAGCAGTTCTAACTGCTACTAAAATTAGTGAGAAATGAATGTGCTGCAACTCAGAGAATTAGGTCCATTCAGTAACATTCACGTTACATCAAATCACTGTTCTCAGTGCAGAGATGAAACCACCTCCAGGATGAAATATAGAAAAGCAACATCCTTTCTCTTCCTTATCTTCAAACTTCAAATGCAGCAACAGATCTCAAGTGGGAGGGGAAGGGAGAATGTTGGCCAGGTTTGAACATGTCTCTAAAATAGTTTCCTGTTTCCAAATCCCACCCAGTATGACAGTAAGGAAAAAAAAAAAAAAAGCTGTGTGCCTAAGTTAAAAAATTAAACTGCCTCACAGTTTGAAATAACAAATACTGTATCTACAGGGCAAACTCTGCAACAGGAAAATGTGTTACTCTACAAACAATAAAGTACAATCCTAGAACCACAAAATAAAATAGATAAGAAACATTATATATCTCAAAATAAGAGAATAAAAGATAGCAACAACTCTTGAACAAATTAAAGTAGGTTCAGCTGGTTCTTTTGATAATGATTTTTGAAAGCAACAAGAAAATCAGATGAAATACATTATGGAATAGATATTCCACTAATGTAAGAGGAAATTGAAAGCAGATATTAAAGGGCTCCATGATACAGAAAATCAGGAGACTGCTACTGATAACTGCTAATCTGTATAACCTCCTTGCTCAGAGCAGGGTCAGCTAGAGCAGGTTGCTCAGGGCTGCGTCCAGCTGAAACCTGAATATCTCCAAGTTCTATCCAGGCAACCTGTTACAGTGTTCAATTACATTTACTGTTAAAAGAAAAAAGATTGTTTTTACGCATATATATGATAACTTTTCCCAGTAATCTGCCAGTAATTTGAGCAGAGGAATGTAGTTTCATTTAGTCCTTTTGGCATAAACAATGGAATCATTTTACTGAAATTTAAAAACTAGTAAAAGATGGACAGACACCATAAGAAATTTCAGGCATGATTGCAAAAGGCTAAAATTACAACAAAATGAAACCAAGAATGTATAAAGGAATCTTAGTGCCTAAGGAACCCCCCCCACATCAATATATGTACAATATCAAACTACCAGTACAGATTTCTTAAGTAGAAAAATTAACACAGGTCTAAGACTCCTTCGGAGGATCTTCCTGCTCTGGTACTCTTGGGGTATCTCTACTCATACAGTTTTTGCACAGGCTGAAGGAGGGTCTGCTGCAGAAAGAGGAGCTCCATCAGAAAGGGGGACTACAAAAGGGGCTGGGAGAATGAGCAGCTGCAGCCCAGGTAGCCACAGCCTGCTGCCACACATGAGGGAAGGGCACAGAGTGGCCCTGTACCTCTGTCCCCCAGGGCCACCAGCTGTGCCCTGCAAGGGGCCACATAGGTACCACAGCAGAGCTGCACACGTGGGATCATGGTGGGGTGGCACTGCGCAGCCCTGGGTTTCCACCACCTCACCACATGAATGCCTTAAGGATCTCAAGGGAAAACGGGCTTTAGTGTCCTGCTGTCATGTCACAGTATCAAAGCACCGCACATTTTTCCAAGACAATGAATAAGTGGCAGAGATGCATAAGAAACGTTCTCATCTTTTCTTGCTGTAGCCTCGATTCATGCACAGCTCGAGGCATTTCTGCATCCACCTGTCCGCAGCCTCTCACAACAAGAGTGCAAACATGTTAAATCTTCTAGACAACTGTAGGATAAGCTACGCATTACTTTTTACTTTCTTGTCTATCAATTCAGTCCCCTTTCCAAGTCTTCAGTTACCTGTTTACAGATAAATTACAAATTTTTTTATAATTTTGCCTTTTTTTGTGAA